CCCTCCCCTGCTTGCGCTCTGTCTCTCTATCTCTCTCAAAATTAAAGAAACATTAAAAAAAAAAAACAAAAAGTTTTTTCAAAAAGAGTTCTGGGGAGACGGACAGAGACGGACAGTAACGACCGTACGAGAGGGTGAATGTACTCGATGTCACCGCACTGGATGCTTAAGATGGTGAAGATGATAACTTTTGTTTGTGTACTTTACCAAAACTAAAAAAAAAGGAAAAGGAAAAGGAAAGGAAAGGAAAAGAAAGAAACTCAAGTGGTGGCTCCGGGCTCTATTGACGTGAATCACCAAAATGCGAAATAGCCCCATACCCTAAAACCTGTGCGTGCCTGCCCCAGGAGTCCGCTGGTCCCGGCCACTCTCCCTCCGGGACCCTGAAGCCCCATCCCTGCCCTGGACGCCCCAAAAGCCAAAGGGAAACCAGGCCCCAGGCTGCTGTGCCCACACACTCCCTCGACTTCAGCCTCCAGGCGGTGGTATGGCCTCTCCCAGCCCACCCCCTTCCTACTCCGGGTCACCCCCATTTCTGGGTCCAGTGGTCTCTGAAGAGACCAGAACGCCCAAGACCTGCTCCCGAGGGGCTGGAGGGCAGGGGCTCCGCCTGGGGCACTGCGGCAACAGCAGCAGAACCCCCCCCTCGCCGCACCCGGGGCCCAGCACACCTGCCCTCTGAATCCCGGGGGAGCAGGGGCCACAGCTGTCTCCAATTCCCAGCCAGGCCCCCCGGCCACCCCGGGGATCTGGCCCCGAGCGTCCTGGCCCTTCTGTGCTGCGCGTGAGGCTGTGGTTCCGGGGTGGGGGGGGAGGTGGAGAGACCCCGCGGCCATGCCCCCCGGAATGGGGACTCACCACATGCTCCCCGATGCGTCCCGATCCCCGAAGGCGCTGTAGGAGCCGTCCCGGTGCCTGTAGGTCAGCTGCCGCTGGTAGCCTGCGGGGCAAAGGGAGGGGTCGGCATCCTGGCGAGCCGCTGGGACTGGGCCTCGTCCTACCGTGGGACCTCCACGTGATGTAATACTCCCATCCGGGGGGGCCAAAACTGTCCCACGCTCACAGCCGAGGCTCTGGAAACTGCCCCGCCACCCACAACCGGAGACACGCAACCCCACTCCACGGGTGCGACCGAAACCTCCACTCTATTCCTCTCGCTCCCTGACGTCGCCTCTTTGTCACCCCTGCTCACATACCCATCACGCCTGGGTGGTCGGTGACGTGCACCATCTCGAGGCAGCACCCTCTGTCCCCAGGGGTGGGCACTATGCCACAAGAGCTTGGTGTGCTCGGAGAACAGAAGAGCAAGGGGGCAGGGGAGGGAGGGGAGGCGGCCACTCGGGCCACCCTGCGGGTCTGGCCTTGCTGCCAGGGCAGCAGGGGGGACATGGGCAGTGGGTGGTCTGTAGGGTCCAGGGAGGAAGCAGGCAGACCGGGAGGTGGGCACCGTCCAGGCGGGCAAGGACGACGGGCCGCCCCGGATCAGGTGGTGGAGACAGTGTGGGCAGAGCCACTGAGGCCCGGAGGAAAGAAAGATCTGGAGAGCAGCAAGGTTTGCAACTTCCCCGCTGGAAGGACGGTGCCGCGCCCTCGGAGGTGGAAAGAGCACAAGGGAGCGCTATACCGGACGGACAGTGACCCCCCCCCCATTCATGGCCACCTGGAACCCCAAAATGGGACCTTAGGGGGAACAAGGGTCTTTGCAGATTCAATTATGCGGAAGATGTCCAGATGAGATCATCGCGGAATAAGGGAGGACCGAGATCCAAGGACTGATGTGCTTAGAAGACAGGAGAGGCAGAAATAGGGACGCAGGAAAAAGCCCTGTGAAGACGGAAGCAGGGAGCACGGGGATGTGTCTACAGGACGGGCTCCCCCAGAGCCTCCAGAAGGAACCAACCCTGTTGAACCTTGACTTTGGACTTCTGGCCCCCGGAGCTGAGAGTGAATCCAGTCCTGTTCTGAGTCACCCAGCGGGTGGTACAGGCATCCCTCAGAAATACCGCGGGTTCGGTTCCAGACCCGTTCGCAATAAACCGTGTCAAACGAAGTTTTTTGGTTTTCCTGTATATTTAGGGTTATGGTTACGCTACACTACGGTCCGCGAAGCCTGCGACAGCATTATGTCTAAGGTAACAATGTACGTGCCTTGGTTTATTTAATTTAAACATACCGGGGCGCCTGGGTGGCTGAGTCAGTTGAGCGTCCAGCTCTTGGTTTCGGCTCAGGTCCTGACCTCACGGTTCGTGGGTTCGGGCCCCACATGGGCCTCCGTGCCAACCGTGCAGGGCCTGCTTGGGATTCTCTCTCCCCTCTGGGCCTCCCCTGCTGTGCACGTGTGCGTGCGCGCTCTCTCAAAATAAATATATTTTTTAAAAATTAAAAAAAAAAGAAAAACTTTAAAATGTCATGGCCAAAAAGATGCTAACCGTCATCTGAGCCTTCTGCGAGTCGTAATCTTTTTGCTGGTGGAGGGTCCTGCCTCCACGTGACGGCTGCTGACTGATCGGGGTGGTGGTCACTCACGGCTGGGGTGGCTGTGGCAATGTCTTAAATGAGACAGTAGTAAAGTTCGCTGCATCGAAGGAGCCCTCCTTTCACGAGCGGCTTCTCTGCAGCATGCGATGCTGTTTGGTGGCATTTCACCCACGGTGGGACTTCTCTCGGAATCGGAGTCCGTCCCGCTGCCGCCGCCCCCTCCACTCTGCCTCTGTGACGTTCTGAACCCTGTGTCGTCGTTCCAACCGTCTTCACGGCATCTTCACCAGGAGCAGATTGCAGCTCAAGAAGCCTTCTTTCCTTGTCCGTTAGAAGCAACTCCTCTTCCGTTCAAGCTTTAGCACGAGATCGCGGCAATGCCAATATAACAACAATCTGGAAGTTCGAAGTATCGCAGGAATCACCAAAATGTGGCGGAGTGAGCAAATGCTGTCGGGAAAGCGGAGCTGGTGGGCTTGCTTTGATGCAGGGCTCTCAGAAACCTTCGACTTGGAAAAAACGCCCTCCCTGCGAAGCGTCTGCACTTGTGAAGGCGGGCCCAGGAAACGAACACCAGCGAGTGTGCAGAAAACTCGTAGAGTCTGCAATGCCAATTGGCTGAAGGGCACAGGGTCTGGCTGTCCAAGAGAGGTCCGCGCTGCTGGTTACGACTAGGGGTGGCCTTCAAGGTCCTTTGCCGGGATGGATTCAGCAACCTGAGCGTCCCCAGCCACAGACTGAGGGGGCTTGGGCTTCCCAGCAGTCTTTGGTCAGCCCTCATCAGGCCAGATTTTCAGCCCATGGCAACCCACCTTACTTTTCCATCAAAGGGCTGTACATTTTCATCATGACGTCTCGCTGTTTCCTTTTCCCGTTGAGGACGGATGGTTCTAGATCATCAGGACTGCTTTTGGAGATCTCATCCAGAAGCACAGTCACTGGGAACCTTAACAGGCCAGGAGGCAGGAACCCCAGGCTCGCCTCAGGGATCAAGGCGCTCTCATGCCTCAGTTTCGCCATCGGAGAGGGGCCTGGCATCATCTGGGCTGGGCACATGCCAGTCTTTCTTGAAAGCAGAACCCTCCAACGTTGTGGCCGTGGGCTCTCATCTCACCCTGGCGGGGACCTAGTGCCCTGGCTGGCTGATCCAGGCGAGCCTGGGATCTCAGAAGCCCCCACCACTCGCCCCTGAATGGTCTCAGGCTGGCTGCTTCCAGGACTCTCGCTTTGCTCATCTGGGAAATGAGGACCATTGGTCTGGGGGTGGCCAGGAAGGTGACTTGGGGCAGCACGGATAGAAGTGCACGGACCTGCCCGCTGTGGATGCCAGCTTCACAGACGGGTCAAACCTTCTCCTTCCTCTCCTTCACTCCACCTCCAGCCCAGGGCCAGAAGCACACCCCAGGAGGCCCCAGGACCTTGGCATCAACTGATCTTAACTCCCTTGCTACACACATAGGTAAGAAACCAAGGCACTGAGAACAGGCCCTACCTGAGAACACACAGCAGGTGCCCGTGACAGAGGCGAGGCTACAGTCTCCCTTGTCCCCCCTCCCTGCAGGGCCAAGACGTGAAGAGGAAGCTGAGGTCAGGGCACTCAGAGGTCCTACCCTCCACACACAGGGCTGCTCCCTACTCTGAGGATCTGATTCCTGGCGACGGAAGACATTCAGCGCTGCGTCATTTCTGATATTCGGTGCTGTGTTGTTTTTTTGTGAAGATATTCAACGCTGTATTGTTTAGGGGGGGAAACTCGAGAAATAATCCCAACGTCTCTAAGAGAGGAGTTTAGCATGCCGTAGTTTATAAATGTGTTATGATGGACATGGGGATTACAGGGAACGTTTCGTTTCTTTTCTTCTAAACGTTTACTTATTTTTGAGAGAGTGCGCGCACGAGCAGGAGAAGGGCAGAGACAGAGGGGGACAGAGAATCCCAAGCAGGCTCCGTGCCGACAGCAGAAAGGCCGATGCAGGCTCGAACCTACGAACTGCAAGATCGTGACCTGAGCCGAAGTCGGGGGCTTAACCGACTGAGCCACTGAGGTGCCTTTCATTTTTCTTCTACTATACCTTATTTATTAAAAAAAAATTTTGAACTTTATTTATTTTTGAAAGAGAGACAGACAGAATGTGACCAGGGGAGAAGCAGAGAGAGAGGGAAACACAGAATCATAAGCAGGCTCCAGGCTCTGAGCTGTCAGCACAGAGCCCGACGTGGGGCTTGAACCCGTGAACCATGAGATCAAGACCTGAGCCTA